GGCTTAATAATAAGGTGGTAACACAAGCCATTCAGTGCCTCAGCGTGTGTTCATTGTCATAGTGACAACTGCAAATAATACTTAAATGTACATGTAATGAAATATTATATAGAAACTCATATTTAAATGTAGCAATTCGACAACAAACGCTTTTTAGCCTGCACATCCTTTACATCATGTCATTGCTTGCCTTGTTGCAAGGGATTTCCATTTTTCACATGTCAATTCATTTGGATCTTCTTTTTGTCTGTGCTCATCTCTCTGTCTGTCCTGTGCAACCATTTGCAAGCATCAGTGCAACAATGTTATCATCACTGGCCAAAGTGATCACACCAACGCACTCTCTCTCCTTAACTTTCCGTGACAGTTCATTTGGCCTGGCCTATTTTACATTCAACAGTTAGCAAGAGCAAGCCTGCTTCGCTCCACGAAAAGGCTGTTAGGTCTAGTATAAAAAAGGCTAAAAATAAATGTCCTATAGCTTTTGTAGGCTATAGCTTTTCCTGGGATTTCATGAGGAATAGTGGAAAGGCTTGCATAGCCCATAGCCTTTTGCGCACGGGAACAGCTGGAAGAGAGTGGCTACAGATGTGCAGCCGAAGTAAGAAGCTAAATATTAGCGAGATATTAGGCCATTCATTAGCTAAATAGTAGGGCTATAAATATTTACCAGTCAAAGTGCAAGAAAAAAAGTTAACAGATTATGAAATGGCAGATCTGTGCATTCCCCTATGAATGCGCTCTGCAGTCCCGGACACGCAAAGCTCCATTATAGATTAGGCCTACGTTTTTAGACATGAAAATTATTTTACCTAGGCTACATCAACACAGTGCAGTGAGGAATGTATTATTGTTATCAAGAGTACACCATTTTTATTTAGGGCTGTAAACTGCAGTGATGTAGTATAATTTGAATAATCGTTCAAACATCCTGCTTTGAACGCTTCATGCCGAAATAACTGCATACAGCCTAGGCATGATTATGCAACCATTTGGATCAGTTATGGGCCTATTCTCAACAGTTTACAAGGCCCAGAAAGTTACATTAGCAGGCTACTCATATATGGTGTATTTTGTTCACACCATCGCGCGCTCTTGCGCTCTCCTTTCAAACTCCCATGTTTTACATTCAGCATGCAAGAGCAAGCTGGAATTTATCCTCGATAGGCTAGTAGTAGATGAGAGGATAGCATAGCTGTAGCTGAGAGGCAGCGGAGGCCAGGTGCGTAATTGTGCATAGAGAACCTTGAAGTTAGAAGCATTTGCAACCAATTCATTAGCTAAATATTACAGATGTAGGATCTTAATTTGAGCCAGTTTGCTACAGCAGGAAAATAATCCTACAGCAAAAGGAAATGTTAATTATTATGTGGATTATAATGAATGGACATTTTTGTAAGGGTTGATACATTTTTCTTTAGGGCAAATCAAGTCTGAAATTTCAAAGTGGAAATTACAAACTTTAGAAGCATTTTTAAAACTCAAATACACAAGTTTGCATTTCCAAATTCCACAAATTCTCATCAACAAAATAGTAATCAAATTATATATATGTAGGCATAATACTGCAGTGAATAGCTTATACCCAATGAATTTACACAGTGAAATATAAATATTTTTAATCAGATTATGAAATTACAGGCAGCCTAGGATAGTGTGATCCCCAGGCTGCGGTCCCAGTTCCCACAAGCATGCAGCTCGAAAATCTCCCCAATTGATTAGCTTTTTAGGGACAAGAATGATCATACCTAGGCTATAACAACACAATGCAATAATGCATTTTTCTTCTTCTAGTGAGTAAAGAATTCTAGTCTAGGCTGTAGGCCTAAATTGCAGCGAATATGCCATTTTAATGACCACTAAGCGGTTATGATATGGTTTGGTTTGGAAAGTTTTTTTTGCCTGGTCACAAACAGCTGATGTGTTGTGCATTGAAGTCCACAAGCGAAGGGAAAAGGTGAGAGGAGGGGAGCGCATAGATGTGAGAAGGAATACAATGTGGCTGCTATGAAAGTGAACTGTGTTTGCACGTGATCAGGGGTGTATTCATTCCACCGATTCTGTTGAAAAACGTTTCTTAAACGGAAGCAAACTGAACAAAACAGGGATAAACATACCTGAATTAGTCCAATCGAAAGTCTCGTTTGCAAATGTTGGACTAATGTTTACACCCTATATCAGCTAGACACAGGCAAGAGTGTGCAAGGCGGTATTGAATGTGTCACTGTCTGTCCATGTGTCACTGTCACCTCAAATTTCTCTCGACCTGTGTGCACCTACGTTGTAAACTTTCATTCATAGGCTAGGTTGTATCAACCTCATGATGGGTATATGGAAAATTAGAGTATCATGTAGTAGCCTAAACCTATCACTTTTACATTGAACTGGGTGAATGGAATATGAATGACAGTCATCCAATAGGCTGTAATAGAAATAAGGCCATGCTCATGAAAAACAAATCGTCCTCCCTCATCTTAAAAGGGACTGACTGCCACTGGTTTTCAATGCATGTTTAATTCCAAAACAATAATAATCTAGCCTAGGCAACCATTTGGATCAACAATGGGTATTTTCTCGACAGTTTACAAGGTCCAGAAAGGCACATTAGCAGGTCTGTCATAGTGTGTATTTTGTCAGGATATATTGGCCTTAACAGATAGACCTACCATCGAAAATATGGCCTTCTCATGAACTGTTTTTTCGTGGATCATCATTCTCCCAAGTGTCCTATAATTAATGTGGCCACCAGTATGCTCACACATGCCCAGTTATTCAGGCAAGCTTACCACAGTGCGCTCTGCCTTCTCTCCTCTCCAAGCAGCCTTGCAGCACCTAGAACCAAGAATGCTTCAATAGAACGAGTTTTTGATTGATTGTCAATGTTTTATGGTTGGAGGGGCTGGGGAAAAATGCGCTCTGAAAGTGATCCAAATGATAGCTCTAGTTATTGTTCTCCACTCTTTTTGTAGTTAGCGTTGTAGTGTGAACACTGCTGTTCACTTGAATTAGAACGACATTTTAAAAAATCATTATAGTTATCGATAAAGTTATCGTCCTTGGTGTTGACCGCCCCTAACGAGTCCCTAATCGGGCAAAAAGCTTCAAAATAAAAGTATTCCCTTTACTTGAGCACAAGATCACAAATCGTAGTATATTTAGCGTGTTTCAAGATGCGTTCTGTTTATCTGATCCTACCCTCTCCTTTTGATGCTATTTTGGTAAGTATTGAGGCTTATTTTTGAGTTCTAATGGTTATTTGTAAATAGGTACTCTGCCAAGGTGGGTAAGTGAAATAAAATATGCAATCAGTGCATGTTCAAAAACGTAATTAACGTTATGTTAATAAGGGGACATCGAAATGTGAATTAAACAACAATGATAAATAGTAATGTGTTGAAAGGGAATTAACGATTGAAAAGGCTTTATTCTTCATTAAATAATATCTGGAATAATAATTTAATTCCCATTCCACTAGATGGCAGTGTCCCCCATGCTGCTCCCAGTCAGGGGTCTGAGGATTCAGAAACAAAATAGTTTATGCTCTTGAAACGCATCCGTGCATTGGTAGATGTGCTGTACATTGTTATGAATAGTTATGTTACACTGCTATAGACTGTTATCACAGTTATTGATTGTTATAGATACGTAAAAAATTATACATTATTATTACACTGTTAAAACAACAGACCTACACTGTGAATATTTCAAATGAATATTTGTGTGGAATGTTTACATCAATTGGACAGACAGCACATTTATCTATTTCATTGTTACCTGATTTAAAAGTTGTGGACAGAAATGTGGGCCACACTGTGGCCCTGAAAGAAAGACCTCTCCAACGGGGCCAATGTGAAAATGTTTTCTTCAAAACATGTTTAAATCCTGTTCTGTTAAGAGTTGACAGTGGTTTAAAAACATTAATACTTCCAGCAACGGTGTTGGTATTGTTGTATCATTATAATTTATGGTTAAATGTTTTATATTATACAGTAAATCGATATTTGTTAATTGATTTCAATAATGTTGCTTGTTTTTTCAATAAATGTATGTTTAAGTCACTTCAAACTATAATCTTTGTGATTTAAAATCAGAAAAAGGTCCTGTAAAAGTCAAGTAAAACAATTTCAGTGGGACTTTTATTTTGACATTTTACCGTATGATCACGTGACCTAAATGTCAGTAAATTCACAATGCTCAACAAATCTGTGAGCTCGCTACCTCTCTCCACTGGGAAAGAATTCGGCCGAAAAAAGGAAGAAAATAAACCAAGGGCGCAGCTAGCCGAGCTGGTTATGGAAACAAAGCCGAAAAACTCGTTGATGCTTCAATGATTCTGCAAGAGGCGCGTTGTCCGCTTACTATGTGTGAACGGGGAGTGAATTTCGCAGGACATTTGTAGTCTGGACCTTTTTAACCCTAGCTAAACAGCTAGGCGAGAGGATTTCTAGCTCGCTAGTTTACCTACTAGCCAGCGAAGAAGCAGTGTTGGTAGATTTAGCAAAGAGCAACCGCTAGCTACGATTGTAGCTAGCTAGCTCTTGCTAGCCAGCTACCTCCACTTTTGCGATTTTCCTTCAAATGGGAGTATGTTATTATGTGCAATTGCTGTTTTCGCAGTTTGCACAATAACATAAATTATTACAACAAAACCCAGCTAGCTAGTTTGTTAATCGCTTAGCTACTCGTTCGACTTTGTGAATGAAGGACAGGCCATGGACTGAATAACGCAGAAGAATGGTGTCTCGCTATCTTGATGACTAGCAGTCATATATTGGATCATATAAATTGAGTACAACAAAACAATAGAAACCTTGAATTTGGTGTGTGTGTGTTAAACTCAAGACCACTAGTTAGCCTATGTAGTTATTTGGAACATCATTGCATTAGATTTGCTGGGCCGTTGTTCCAAATTGAATGAAAGAAACGTAGAGAACGGGATTATCCATTCTGTTGTCAATTTGTAACTAATTTGCATTTACGGTGAACGGAGGCGATATACAATGTCTACAGCGAAAGAGAACCCTTGCAGAAAATTCCAGGCGAACATTTTTAATAAAAGTAAATGTCAGAACTGCTTCAAACCTCGGGAGTTGCATCTCTTGACCGATCAAGATCTGAATCAGGTAAATAATTGTTATTGTGATGATGTAGCCACATTGTCGCATAGGTACTTGTAACATGTGAACTCTGCTAATCTAGCTACAATGTAATCATTTGGTCGTCTCGAGCTTGCTGTTGCTGTCAAGTTGTGTAACAGTCGAATGTTGGCAACATTGTAGCCAGCTACCTAGTCAAACTTCCAGTTAGCATTCTAAAGCATTTTGTAACTGACACAATGTTGTCATTTCATGCTGTCTACTTTGCCATCCTCAAGTCTATTAATTGGATAATTGGGCATCTAAGTGTCTACTGTGATTATAGCTCAGCGTGTGTGTCATTCTGTCTGTGTCCTCATTCAGTGACCATTTGTTGAAGACCGACTCCTTTAGAGAGTAACTAATGGTGTATTATTTATATACACACACTGTATACCCTGCTTCAGTCTGACAAACTAAGGCGTGGTCTCACAATCAACCAGTGGTTCAATATGAGGAATCAGCTGTAATAATAGGACCCTGGTTCAAAGCCACAAATTAACATTAGATTTGGATAGATTCATCGGATAAGGGAGGTTTTTGACCAGCTTCAGGTTAGACATAACATTTATTACTGGCAAATAACACCATCCTCCCAAAAGGAGGAATCAGCTGACCCATCATGGGTCCTGTCCAATCTTGTTAGATCATTGCAGATGAAGAACAGGAGATGAGGAGGGGAAGGCACTTAGACTTTTCCACCCAGATTTCTCTCTCTGAGATCGTTAGCTAGTCTCTGTTGTATCCTGTAATTGATCCCATGCGCTGAGGTCCAGATGGGCCCTTGAACATGGCTCAAGAACAGCAATGCCAGCGAGCATCCTCTCCTCCACAAAGATTGTGTGTGTGTGTGTTTCTCTGCTTGTGTATTAGTGAGAATGTGTGTGTTTCTCTGCTTGTGTAGTGTATGAGTGAGAAAGTGTGTGTGTGTTTGCGTTTCTCTGCTTGTGTGTGTGTGACAGCCTGCTTGTGATTACTGCGGGGTTAACCCCTTCAGACCCAGCCTCCTGAGTCAGGACTAGAATCTTGAAGCGATTACATCACTTCTTTAATCCTCCTGAGACCCAGCCTTGCTCTCTCCCAGGGCCTTTATGGCATCACCAGTGGAACCAGAGATGCTTCTATCCGCTGCTCTATCCATATAGGGCTAGAAATTAGTTGGTCTCGTACCAGGGGAGTCTTAACCTGATAATGTAAACAATACTCTACAGCTAGCTAGCTCTAATCTCATAAAATAAAACGACCCTTTAAAATAAGTTTCTAGCCCAAATCTATCCAAGGAACTAGTCATGACATTGACTGCCATTTTGGACAGGAAAATGTAAACAACACTGAAGAATGTAGCCTATCTGCTCTCTCATATTCCTCTGGTTAGTAGATAAACTTAATAACCCAGTCAGGGTGCTTCAATGGTGCATCTTAATGCAGTTTAAACACTGGATGGCTCCTAGAGGCGCTCATTATGGTGCTGCAGTGTTTCCCCTAGCATTTTTCCAGCAGCGGTGGCAACGGTCGCGGAAGGGGGGGTGTTGGTGGGGTCAGGCAAGGTTTTTCTGGATCAAAAAGGGGCTTAGGTGGTGGCATTGTCGGGGGCGTGGTTGGGCCTTTGGCTTGGCATAAATCGGCCTGGAATTGGCAACATAGAGAAATGTTGTTTTTCAGCTAATTTCCTGCAATTCCATAAATTTTTCCGTGGAGCTGAGACATTTTTATGCAGCGTGAAAGCTAATTTCCTGCAATCCAACGCATTTTGCCATGGCTAATTCTGTGTTCTTATGCTCAAACATAATAAAACCAATGGGGCCCCCCGGGCATGTGCCCTGCGTGCCCCGTCAGTAATCCAGCCATGCAAAAAAATACTCCTAAATTAGACGTTTTTAGAATGGTCTATTCTCCCTGACTGTCTAGCTTTTGTTTTGGTGATTTCTAGTTCTCAAAGATCATATTATTTAAAAAATGTATAGGTCAGTTATATTTTCTACATACTTTGTCTGGTTTTAGTCATTTAAGTTTATACTGAAAGTTTCTTGTTGTGGCGGGAACAATTTAGCAGTGGTGGTGCGACCCTGCTAAATGAATAAAGGGGAAACACTGTGGTGTTTGCCAGAGAGCAGTTTTTACGTTCTGTTGGGAGAGGACGATAGTTTCAAAGGTGTTTTTCTGGATCGAGGCTATTGCTGAGCTACGCTGCTTTGTAGTTCCTGAGGCATCGGCGAGATGGAGAACCCATTCAGGATAGAAGGTGGGAGGGAGAGAGTGGGAGGCAAGGATATGATGGAAGTACAGACAGACTGAGGGACGAGAGAGAGGGTGGTGGGTGAGAGAACAGTTTGAGAGATGTAGTGGGGCACAGGGAGATGATGGGAGTATAGAGGAAAGGAGAGAGAAGAGAACACTCAGGGAGAGATGGTAGGAGGCAGGGGTATGGAGAGATTTAAGGGAGGGAGGAGAGGAAGAGCTTGTGAAAGAAAGTGCGGGGTTGGGATTGAAACTAGAACAGAGTTTCCCACGGGTTACTCTCACCAGTGGAGCCCAGAGTTCTCAAATGCACGTACATAGATCTCAATTCCACATGGTCCAGAATCATGTATGTTAGACCTATAAGTTCCAGTTCTATCTATACTGAACAAAAATAAACAACATGCAACAATTTCAAATATTTTACTGAGCTACAGTTCATATAAGGAAATCAGTATATTGAAATAAATAAATTAGGCCCTAACCTATGGACTGCACGACTGGGAATACAGATATGCATCTGTTGGGCACAGGTGCTTAAAAAAAAAAGTAGGGGCATGGATCAGAAAACCAGGCAGTATCTGGTGTGACCACTATTTTCCTCATGCAGCGCCACACATCTCCTTCACATAGCGTTGATCAGGCTGTTGATTGTGGCCTGTAGAATGTTGTCCCACTCCTCTTCAATGGCTGTGCGAAGTTGCTGATTATTGGGAGGAACTGGAATACGCTGTCGTACACATCGATCCAGAGCATTCCAAACATTATCAATGGGTGACATGTCGGGTGTGTATGCAGGCCCTGGAAGAACTGGGACATTTTCAGCTTCCAGGAATTGTGCACAGATCCTTGCGACATGGGGCCGTACATTATCATGTTGAAACATTAGGTGATGGCGGCAGATGAATGGCACAGCAATGGGCCTCAGGATCTCGTCATGGCATCTCTGTGCATTAAAATTGCCATCGATAAAATGCAGTTGTGTTCGTTGTCTGTAGCTTATGCCTGCCTATACCATACCCCCACCGCCACCATGGGGTAATACGTTTGCAACGATGACATCAGCAAACCACGACGCCATACACATGGTCTGCGGTTATGAGGCCAGTTGGACGTACTGCCAAATTCTCTAAAACGACATTGGAGGCGGCTTATGGTAGAGAAATTAACATTAAATTATCTGGCAACAGCTCTGGTGGACATTCCTGCAGTCAGCATGCAAATCGCACGCTCCCTCAACTTGAGACATCTGTGGCATTGTGTTATGTGACAACTGCATTTGAGTAGCCTTTTATTGTTCCCAGCACAAGGTGCACCAGTGTAATGATCATGCTGTTTAATCAGCTTCTTGATATGCCACACCTGTCAGGTGGATGGATGGATTATCTTAGCAAAGGAGAAATGCTCACTAACAGAGATGTAAACATTTGTGCACATCATCTGAGAGAAATATGCTTTTTGTGCATAACGAAAATTTCAGGGATCTTTTATTTCAGCTCAAGGCTCTGCAATGGTTTTACTTGGCTAGCAGGAGTAAGGTGGACTTTTAGATGGGTCTACCGTACATTTGAATGGACCTTTTGGCTTGGCTCCTAAATGAGTGGAGGAGAGCGGCGCGTCCAGGCCTCCCTGGACTGTACTGGGGAGGCAATGAAGGGTTAACACGAGATCATTAGAGGACACAACATTGTATCTGTACCATTATGGCATCTGTGAGAGTATGAGCAGCACCATTAAGGCCATCTCCATTTTGAAGTAGTCAATTTTCTTCTACTTCTTCTATGAGTTGGTAAACAAACTGAAAGGCTGCATACTGCCACTTGGAGTGTGTTGTTTGAACAGGTATAAAGCCAAGGTTGGCGATTTACTGCCACCTGCAGTTATGGAATGTTTTCTCACAAGTATAATTCATTGGCTGATCCCTCCTGATGACCTGGATGGAATGATGTGATCCTTCCTTAACCCATAGTAAGTCCCACCCAGTTTTCTACTTAAAAATTGTGAAAATCCTCAATAGCGCTACCCATGCTAAAACAGACTTTTAGCCACTAGAGTCCTCTATCTATCTCTATGGGTTAACCTCACTGCCGGTGGGAGGCCTTGCCTTGGAGGGCTGGAATGGAGGGGGAAGGTAGGTCTGTTGGAGAGAGCTGAGGGGGGAGGGCAAGGTCACGGGAGGACCACTTTAGAGGAAGTGAGGCCTGTGTGTGTGAAGGAAGATTGGAGGGAGAAAGGGTGCAAGGGTGTGTCCCTCCTCTCCAGGTCTCCTGGCTCCTCAGCCCACCAACATTGCTACAGGCCACAGCTGCTTGCTTACACTGCCTCTCCTTGTCTGTCTCGCTCATTCTCTCCTGTCCAGCTCTTTCTTGCTCACTCGGTCTCTTTCTCTCTGCTGCTGTCTGTCTCGCTCTCTCTTTGGATGTTTTGAAAGAGAGAAGAATGGAGAAAGGGGTTATGCATTATAGCACAACCTGTGTGATATGGGCTCATTTATTGATAACATTGCCCATATAAGATCTGAGGACAGGAAACATCCATTTTGGATCGTAGCCTATGCCTTGACTTCAGCGCTGCAGATAATCAGCTAATCATCAAGTAAAATCATCAGTCATAATTACTGCCAAAATGCCAGACTCTTATCAGATTTCTTAGGACTAGGTCATGCCACGTTTATCTCCTCAATCACCCATCACCTGTTAAAAGTAAACGATTAAATCAGTCTATAGGCACATTAGGCAGTCAGTTTATGCAAGCTGAAATAAGGCATATATGGATGGATTTATGACAGACATGCAGGGACACGGGCTAGCTAGCGACAGCCAGGGCCAATACCCAGACTAATAATCGTATACTCCTCTACTGCAGGTAAGACGCTAGCCTGGATTTTGAGGTAAAGAAAAAAGGTAGGAGGGGATTTTTTTTTATATAGCAAAACAGGGCTGACAGCTGCTTCTTGGTAATGTTTAACAGTAAAAGTTGGAGACAAAGACAAATACGTTTTAGTAGAGTGCAAAGAGCAGCCATTTTAAACAGCCTCCCCCTCACCCTGTGGGAGCTCTACTCCATGTTTATACATTTCCACATCTTTTGAACTTCTGTGTTTTCATTGGAAACAAGCAGGTTTTTGGCTCAAACAACTTCCATGAGGTGAATGTAGGTTGATAGGCAGGCGCTGTTGTCATTCACACAAAGCTTCATTTATGTAATTTGAACGCAAGGCAATCGTGTATATCAAACGTTGCTAATTACGCCGACAGGCTTGCTAACTGGTTTTGTGTGGTTTCAAAACTGCCTCATTGAGAGGGTCTGTAGGAACATCTGGACCACAATGTGCTCTCTCCTTTCTCAGTGCTTCCCCCTCCCCCCCATTTTTAATGATTGTCTAAATTGCTCTGTTTTACAGGCCAAACCTATTTATGGCGGATGGCTGTGCTTGGCCCCCGAGGGAACAGACTTTGACAACCCCATGCAGAGATCCCGGGTAAGATCACCCATGAGGCGTGTATGTGTGCGTGCTCACATGGAATGGGGGATGGGTTAGTATGTGTGTTCCCTGTTCTTCCATAGCATTGTAGTCTCATGATAAACAGACAAACACCATTCCCGGGCAGCAGAACCTTATAGTGAGAGGGGATGGGTGACCATCAGGAGGTTTTAATCCACTTAAAATCCATTTGGGAAGTAAGCTGAGGTGTAATGGAAGCGCTTGAAACACAGCCCTAACATATGGTCAGAGAAATGGGCTTTAAATCTGCGTACGTAGAGTGTTTTCTTTTCATGCCAATTCACCAGGTGCTATACATCACAAGGTTTCAGCGCACATACGGGTGCACAGTGTCGAGAACGGGCCGAGCACTCACTCATGTCCGGATCATGGAATCTATTCAACACACTGCGCTAAGCCATATGGGCCATGGCGCCGGAGAACCTGCTCTAACTTGGGGGCAAGGCCGCTGGGGTGGCATTTGCATAACAATAGCTAACTGTGAACATGGGTTTACACCTTTGACGGTTAACACCAAACAAAGCAACTTTTGATTATGCAGAGGTTGTTGATTCTGCTCTTCACAAGTCGTCACTGTCAGCCCTAGCAATGTGTTAAGGAAAATCGCCTATTTTGAATGCACTTGGTGAGGTAGGTGATTCAGGGGTTCTGGGTTAGAGGATAAGGAGAGAGACTTGAGGTTCCGTTTTAGAGTCTGTGCTCCCGTTTTATTTCCTCCAAATCAAACATAATCCATCTAAATTTCCATTGACTTGTGCTAAAAGTAAACAAAAAACATTTGCATCAGCATATTTTACATCATAAACATTATTTTTCACAATCTGAGCCAGTAGTCAATCATAAATATCATAATTTCTCCAAAGCAGTAAAATAAATATTCATTACGAAGGTATAAATTAGATCCTTTCAATATGCAAACATTTCTATCAATATGCGACACAACATCCTACCGCTAATAAACAACAGTGCATCTTTAAATGCAGATCAATTGAAACATGAAAATAATGTAAAAAATATTGGGGTTGCTTACGTTTGGGTATTGGACTCACAGATAACAGAAATGAAAGGATAAATGTTGGTTTTGTACTACTGCTTGGATTGTTTGGCACTGAAAGACAAAGGAACTCAGGTATTTAACAAGTGAAATTGGTTGCAGGTGTGCTCAGAGCATAGAGCTGTATAGAGGTCTCTAGTGCCAAAAAGCGTGTTTAACATGGGCAGCGCCATTGAGGTCTGATACGTTGCAATCTCTATACATCTCTATGGCTCAGAGGTGCCTGCAATTAAAGAGACAGTTAACAAAAAGTGTGATTAAAGGAACAGTTAACTAATAAGTCTAAGAAAAATGAGAGCCTTTGCTACACCTAAAGAAACACAATTTCCTATAACATCAGGGTGTATACACTAGTATAACACTGGCGTTACAGTTGAAAAGCAGCAATAGAGAGTACTAGTGTTGTCACGATACCAGAATTTTGACTTCAATACCAGGTTTAGTATCACAATACTCGATACTCGATACCAAAACGATACCACTGCAAAAAAAGAAGCCATATTAGCAAGTCACAGAATGGCACTTGATCCAGACAGATAAACTCAGCTACTGCCCTGTTCAATCGTTGGGCATCTTTTGAGTTCAATATCATTACATAAAAAAATTTTACATAAAAAATTTTGAGAGTCCGCCATGTATACATGAATTAATCAATTATACAATAAATGTGACTTTGTTTTTACCATTCTAACTACATAACAACATAATGGTAATTTCTTTTGAATAGTAAATCTTTATTGATAAACTGGGTAAATCAATATCTAGCCTAGGCCTATCCACAATACAGGTGAATGCATATTCAATGTGTGCATGCATTGAGTTATTGAGCTTGTTTTGGCTGATTTCATGGGGCTACAGATGACAAACAATCTGGGACTTATTTTATTGTACTGATCAACAACATTTGTATAGAAGTAGCTTATTTTATACAAATGTGCGCCTTCTCTTTAACAGAGTTCGCTGATCATCTTTGGGAGAGACGTGAGAGAGACTGAATAAGTAAATGAATAATGTTTTTGGTGGCAATCAGCTTTGAAATTAGCATATTTTGCATTGTAGTTTGCATATAGTCACAAACTAAGTACTAGGGTAGTGAATGGATGTTATCTTTAGCTGTCAGCTAGCAAGAAAAATGGAAGCTACCAATATCTTTTTGCATTGTAAAGTGTTCTAGCATGTATAGACATTGTTTTGCGAACAATAATTACGCTTAAAAATGTCCACATGCCGTGTCGCATTATTCAAGTATGTTGACTTCTGTGCAGCATGATGGCCCCGTGTAGCTCAGTTGGTAGAGCATGGCGCTTGCAACGCCAGGGTTGTGGGTTCGATTCCCACGGGGGGCCAGTATGAAAAAAACAAAAAAAAACATGTATGCACTCACTAACTGTTAAGTCGCTCTGGATAAGAGCGTCTGCTAAATGACTAAAATGTAATGATGTAACATGATGCAGCCCAGACTCCCAGTGCTGGCTAGCGATGAGTAAGGGGAGCAGGCGTGCTATAATAAGGGGTCGACTGCGGTGATAGGCAGGCTTGATTCGTGACACACATTTGACAGAAGTACCGAAACTAACAACTTCTAGTACTGAACTGTTTTTTATGTTCTAGAGAGGGCAGGTTGGCTAAGACTAACTACAGTAATAGATGTTACTGTTTCATCAGGGAGCCACAAAGATTAAGTAAACAAATGTAATCGCTGAATTCATGTCATGCTTGCTATTTCATGCAGCCACAGAATAGAAAGAAGCTAAACAAAATTTGCATTGTTTAAAGTTGAGACATATCATGTTGACTAGCCAATCACAGTGACATGAGATTCAATCTAGTCATGATCAGTTTAATATATTTCATTCAGGTAAGCTTAGTAGATTGGAGGTCAGAGACCTGGCAGTGTGGTGCCAGGACAACAACCTCTCCCTCAACGTCAGCAAGACAAAGGAGCTGATCGTGGACTACAGGAAACGGATGGCCGAGCACGCCCCCATTCACATCGACAGGGCTGTAGTGGAGCGGATCCAGAGCTTCAAGCTCCTCGGTGTCCACATCACTAAGGATCTTTCATGGTCCACACACCAACACAGTCGTGAAGAGGGTCATGACAACGCCTCTTTCACCTCAGGAGGCTCAAAAGATTTGGCATGGGCCCTCAGATCCTCAAAGTTCTACAGCTGCACAATTGAGAGCATCTTGACTGGCTGCATCACTGCTTGGTATGGCAACTGCTTGGCATCCGACCGCAAGGCGCTACAGAGGGTAGTGCGTACTGCCCAGTACATCGCTGGGGCCGAGCTCCCTGACATCAAGGACCTGTATACCAGGCGGTGTCAGAGGAAGGCCCTAAAATCTGTCAAAGACTCCAGCCACCCAAGTCATAGACTGTTCTCTCTGCTACCGCACGTCAAGCAGTACTGATGCACCAAGTCTGGAACCAACAGGACCCTGAACAGCTTCTTCCCCCAAACCATAAGACTGCTAAATAGTTATTTGAATAGTTAAACAAATAGCTACCAGGACTATCTGCATTGACCCTTTTTGCACTAACGTTCTTGACTCATCACATATGCTGCTGCTACTGTTTATCTATCCTGTTGCCTAGTCACTTTATACCTAGTTATATGTACATTTCTACCTCAATTACCTCATACCCCTGCAAATTGACTCAGTACTGGTACCCTGTGTATATAGCCAAGTTATCGTTACTCATTGTGTGTTTATTACGTGTTATTACTTTTCTATTATTTCTCAATGTTCTTTCTCTCAGCATTGTTGGGAAGGGCCCCTAAGTAAGCATTTCACTATAAGTCTACACCGGTTGTTTACGAAGCATGTGACAAATACCATCGTTCACTTTTGGGAAAACTGGTCCAGCCACTTGGTAGCTAGTTATCATTAGTTCAAATAATGCAATATTGGGTACTAATATGAAAGTGCTATTGTAAACTATAAAGTATAAACCCACCATTGCTTAATTTATGAATGAGTTCCCAGGTGAAGTTGCCTGTTTGCCTTATCTGTTCAGCTATTTCATTCCACTCCTTGTTCTCCATGTCATTTGCCAAATACATAGGAATTACCAGGAATGGCAGGAGTGGCAAGGAGTGTTAGCTACAGTGGCTTGCCCCCCTTGGCATTTTTCCTATTTTGTTGCCTTACAACCTGGAAATAAAATTGCTTTTTTGGGAGGGTTTGTATCATTTGATTTACACAACATGCCTACCACTTTGAAGATGCAAAATATTTTTCCTTGTGAAACAAACAAGAAATAAGTCAAAAAAAAGAACTTGTAATTGCTGCTTTTTGCAGCAATTACAGCTGCAATTCTATTGGGGTATGACTCTATAAGCTTGGCACATCTGGCCACTGGGATTTTTGCCCATTCTTCAAGGCAAAACTGCTCCAGCTCCTTCAAGTTGGATGGGTTCCGCTGGTGTACAGCAATCTTTAAGTCATACCACAGATTCTCAATTGGATTTAGGTCTGGGCTTTGACTAGGCCATTCCAAGACATTTAAATGTTTCCCCTTAAACCACTTGAGTGTTGCTTTAGCAGTATGCTTAGGGTCATTGTCCTGCTGGAAGGTGAACCTCCATCCCAGTCTCAAATCTCTGGAAGACTGAAACAGGTTTCCCTCAAGAATTTCCCAGTGTTTAGCGCCATCCATCGTTCCTTCAATTCTGACCAGTTTCCCAGTCCCTGCTGATGAAAAACAACCCCACAGCATGATGCTGCCACCACCATGCTTCACTGTGGGGATGGTGTTCTCGGGGTGATGAGAGGTGTTGGGTTTGCGCCAGACAAAGCGTTTTCCTTGATGGGCAAAAAGCTCAATTTTAGTCTCATCTGACCTGAGTACCTTCTTCCATATGTTTGGGGAGTCTCCCACATGGCTTTTGGCGAAAACCAAACGTGTTTGCTTATTTCTTTCTTTAAGCAATGGCTTTTTTCTGGCCACTCTTCCGTAGTGTACGGCTTAAAGTGGTCCTATGGACAGATACTCCAATCTCCGCTGTGGAGCTTTGCAGCTCCTTCAGGGTTATCTTTGGTCTCTTTGTTGCCTCTCTG